TATGCAATGATAAATATAATAAATATAATATAATGTAATAATATTATATAAATGCTATACCTTAAATTATGTCGAAGTAAAGCTGTTACAATTTCTTTCGTGTATCAAAATGAACATTACACTTTTAGCGTATATCACAGTAAAATAAATATCACATTAAATAATTCGATTTTGTATTGCACTACAGAAATCTTCAAAATTTATTAAGCAAAAGATTTGCACCTTAACAATAGAATTTTTCTAAATATAAGATTTAAAGCGTATAACTTTCTGGAAGTATCACAAATGACTGACTTTTCAGATTTGACACGAATATATATTACACAAACTTATGATATGGACGGATTAATCGCGTCAGTTAAAAAATAATGCGATCTAAGCATGATGTTGCTTTCAAGTAAAACGAAAGTGGCGACTCTACTCGTGAAGATTAGATACTACAAATTAGGAAGAAATTTGGCTATAGCAAAAAATTTTTAATTATTTGAACTGTCAGTGAGGTCACACTTTTCTCTCCCTGTTTCTTATATAGTTTCTAACTTTGTTTAATTTATGAGCATATTTATATACTAAATTGTTTAGACAATTTTATTTTACATCAACTTTACGAATAATGAATATAATTTTATATATAGTACGGACAGTAAATTCGTGAAATTTAAAATTTTTAATGGTAATACAAAATCCAATAACTAAAAGATTTTCATATTTTAAAGTTCATGATTACAGGTTAAAGTATTTCAACTGCATTTAGATTTAGTGTAAATATGAGAACTGAATTTTGGCGCGATTTGAAAACCGTTATTCCATTTCCACGTTTCACAGGTTTGAAATGTATGGAACACGGAACGCGCTTTCGGCGATTTACAATCATAAACTTGAGTTTGCTTTGTACTTATCACTGGAGCATGGTTTTATTATGATTTTTGAGCGCCAGGTGGCCGCGTTTTTGTTGTCCGTTTGTCGAACAGTACAGGTCTCAGCGCCATTACATCGATAAATGTCATTGTGTTCGCGTCCCGCGTAACTGGTTTTCCTAGCAACGAATAAATTCAAAATATAAGATTGGCCGACATGTCGAGTAAGCGGAAAAATCCAGCAAGCAAGAAGGGTCGCGCGAAATATAGAAAGACCGAATATGACGAAGAGGACATCTCCAGCGAACACGATTCGGATGTTGACGACGCCGAGACCGGCTCGAATGCCGACGGTGAGGACGCTCCCGAAGATGATCTTAGCGATGTCTCCAGTATTCCGGAATTGCCGCCACCTGAGGTGAAATAATTTTCATCTTTTTCATGTACTTGTTTATCCCAGGTAAATGGTATCTTGAAGTCTGAAAGGATGCGGAAACGATGTTGGTATTTACGATGCTGATGGGCCTCGGAGCCATGCATGTCCTACGCTGGTGAAAAAAAAGTCATTTCGGAACAGAGAGGAGTGTGCACCGTTGTTCACACTATTAATATTTTTATAATCGCAAAATAACATTACGAAGTTCGTGCACACATTTTTATTAAGCTTTCGTGCGTAATTTCTTAAATTAGTTAGATTTCTAATTGTTGTCATTTATATTTAAATTTACATTTACTTATATGATGAAATATTAAACAAATAGTATAAAAGAATTATATTCAGTGAATATTTTAAAATTCTGTAACTTTGTTTAAAAAAAAATTAGATTTTTGGCGAGACTTATCAAATAATTTTTATCTTGTATTCAATAATTTACTTATACATTATTATTACAGGGTGGGTGGGGAAAGTCTGGAACATTGCTCATGTGTGGCCTCACAAACTGGGATATGGCAGGTCGTAAAGCTCCACCAAAAGGAGTGAAATCAACTAATATAGGACGTAGTTTGTGGACACCTCATACTTTCAAAAACTTAAATGGTGCTAGGGTCAGATTAGTTGCTTCTGGTCCAGCTGCTTCTCATAGTATTATTGTTACAGAGGATAATAGATGCTTATCTTTTGGTAGAAATGATAAAGGTAAATGAATGAAAGGTAAACAAAACTTATCTTATGATTATGTATTTCAATGTAAGTAAATGTAATTTAAACAAGTTCAAAGTTTGCAAGGTTTGTTAAGCCGTATCATTTCTATTGGTACTGGATTAACAAATATCTAATTTAGTATCAATCTCATGAAGATACACTTTATTAGCTATATATATTTATTAAACTTAGAAATTCTTAATGTTTGTAGGTCAGCTAGGTGTTGGTGATACAAAACGTCGGGATGAACCTACAGAAATCACAGCATTGAAGGGACATACAATCATAGGAGCATTTTGTGGTCGCAATCACACTTTATTTTTAACAAGTCGCGGCATCGTTTTTGCTGCAGGAGACAATAAATTAGGTCAATGTGGCGTTGGAAAATCTGATGTCTGCATTGTCTCTGCCACTAAAGTAAAATACACTGGTCCACCTATCGTGAAAGTAGGATGTGGAGCAGAGTTTTCAATGATTCTGGACATTAAGGGTGGTTTACATTCATTTGGAAGCCCAGAATATGGAGCTTTAGGTCATAATACTGATGGAAAGTATTTCATAACAAATACTAAGATGGCGTTTCATTTTGAGAAAGTGCCTAAGAGAATTGTTTTATATGTTGAAAAAGCAAAGGATAGCCATGTTACACCATTAGATTGCGTTGAAATTACAGATTTCAGTTGTGGACATTATCATACCGTCGCAATCGATAGTAAAAATCGTGCATTTTCTTGGGGATTCGGAGGTATTGGCCGTTTAGGTCATAACGAGCAACGAGACGAATTAGTGCCTCGTTTAATTAAGTACTTGGAACCACCTAATCGTGGTGTTAGAGCTGTACATTGTGGCAGTTCTTATAGTATTGTCATCAATGTTCATGGATCAGCTTTAATGTTTGGACAAACAAAACGTACTGGAGAAGCAAATATGTATCCCAAACCAATTCAAGATTTGTCTGGCTGGGAAATTAGATGCGTTGGGTGTTCTCAAACTAGCGTAGTAGTTGCGGCTGATGAATCGGTTATTGCTTGGGGTGCTAGCCCTACTTTTGGTGAATTGGTAAATAATTGTATAATCAATAAATATATTAATGGACTTTTGTAGACTTTTCAACTAAATTCCTCTTCTTCAATTAATAATTACAGGGTTTTGGTGAAATGCGTAAATCCTCAACAACTCCAAAAGAAGTAAAAGCACTGGAAGGTTTGTACATTACTGCTGTTACCTGTGGTCTCTCACATACACTTATGATTTGTCGAGATGAATCTGAAGAAGAGAACGCTAAAATTAACAAACTTCAAGTATATTCAGTTTAAATCGTATAATTTTTAATTTGAATTACACGAAGTAAATGCTATCGAATTACCACGCCGGAGCGCTCAGAGATTTTTCGGTATTCATTGCAAATAAAAGAAGTTGAACTGTAAACGAAAATGCGTCATCGCTTTTGATTAAGAAGTTAGTTTAACGACTTGAAGAAAAGATTGAAAGATCTGTGAATGGTTATTAATAGACTGCGAAAAACGTCCATACAAAATATAGACTTAACTATTACTCTCTACTTTGTACTTCCACTTTTACTTAATGTACGAAGAAAAGTTTACCATAATAGGAAACCCCATTCTGTTAGTAGCTCAGGATATAGACCAAACGAATAGATGCAAAAATATATTTTGATACGTTGCTATTTTATTGAAGTACTCTCTGTGTCTTTAACAAGAATGAAAATAGTTGATATGTATGAAGAAGAGTGCTAGAAACTGGAAAGAACATGTTATGGAATTTAACAAGTACTGCTTTTAATTTTATTTTTCATTTTAATCTATTATATGCAAATAGTCTATATCATTGATTCATTACAGTAGTACCTGAATCATTAAATCTGCAGAAATCATTCTTATATTCTATGTACAGGGACATTTTAGAAGTGATTATACAAAGAAAAGCTGGAACATATGCTTTAAATGGTTAATGTTTTTATAACAAACACATAGAGAATATCAATGCAAGTGTTTTATGAACTCATTTATTTCTGTATTTAAAGTTGATACTCTTTTTGCTATGAAAAATAACAATGCTCTTCCAAAACCAGCATTGTTTATCATACTTTTTAAACTAGGGATTGTTTCATAGTTATACTTAACAAAGAAAGTTTCAGTAAAAAAAAAAAGAAAGAAAGGAAACACATTGTTAATTATTGTACTATATAGGATGAGTAAAAAATTCTTATAATAAATTTAAATGTTTATAGTTTGGACATCATATGCTACTAAAACTCATGTATACGCATTATAATTAAGGCTATCCACGTCTCAGTAGTGAATATAATCGAAATTTTATATGTAATTTTATTTTAGAACTACTGAAAATGTAACACGAAGATCCATGAAATTCACAATAACGTCATATGTTTTAAAAGGACTGTAATTAGAATCACTGCCACAATGTAGTCGGAGTTTTTTGCATTGCGATGAAATGAATTTAATATTTGTTCATTCCATTTTGTTCCATGTAATATTTCTGTGGAATAACCACACTGTTTTAGTAAATATGGAACAAATGTACAAGACAAATTACAGAATAAACGAACTTTTTAAATAATTTTTATTAAAGAGTGTTCTGAATATTATCTTTTAATACTCGCATTTAGTAGACTCCAAATATGGGGGCAATGAATGATCATCACTCTTATCTGATACATTGATTTTACACGAAGTACACATTTCAGAAAATTCACAACTTTCAAATTTTCTTAAGGGTCTTTTTATACATTTCCAACATCGTTTTTTAATACGATACAATTCTTGATAATCTCTGCAAAAATTGCAGGGAATATTTTCCATAGCTTTTTCATTTAGTTTTTTAATTAGTTCCTCTTCTTCTAAACGTTTTTTCACCTATTTAAAAATATTACTGCTGTTTGTAATGATTATTTTATAAAATGTATTGATTATTTTTGAAGAAATAAAATAACTATTTTTCAAGCATTAAAAATTATTGTAAATAATGCTAACAACAAATTTATGATCCATTGTTATAGTGGCTAATGCAATTAATTGTTGAAGATTGTCCTTTTTATTTTGGGGAACATTACCACGCGCCCAACGTAATAATTCATATGCCATAAAGTGTATTGGTTCTGTTGGTTTATATTTTAGAGTTCTAGCCATTACCCATGCCAATGGTAAGTATTAACAAATAGCATAATTGTGAAAAGTCAATAATTAATTTTTTTTTAATTTAATACTATCAACTTAAGTGTTTCTATACAGGGTAAGCCATTATAATCTTTTCACGAGATTATCTCCCGAACTATTCATTATTCAAAAACATGTGCCAAGTAAAACTTACTCTGTTTCGACGGAGACATTTTAACACACAATTTTATCCTAGGCGCCTCCGAGATTTCAAGGTGACCTTTGATTTTTTTAGTTGGAACAGTATATTCCTTTTACTTAGGCGTGTAGCTCATTTCGAAACGAGTTCATTGACCTGTGATATCTGGGTCTTCCAAAGTTATTCACGATCGTTGAAAGTATATCTTCGTTGAACACCTACGAAGTTTTTTTTATCTTCTATATTCGAAAGGACGACCTTAGGTATGATTCGAGCTTCGATATCATCAGAAGAGGTGGGCTTTTTTTGGTAAACTTTATATTTTAAAAAGTTTCACAAGAGGAAGTCTTGAGGCGTCAGATCTGAAGATCTTGGTGGGAAGAATATGTTACTTCTTCTTCCCATTCAACGGCCAGGAAACATGTTAAGCGTTTCTCGAACCTCGCAGTTATTATAAACAAGAGCTAGTGGTGGGTAGAACATCTTCCAGAATCTTTAGAAATTTATTTCAAAGAAAAGTGTTGATAAATCGCATCATTAGTGAGTTCACGTCACGTTTAATTTCGAGTCGACGAATTCGGTACTTCGTTAAAGGAAAGTCTTGCAATTATTCAACGAAGGTAGTCTTTGAACGATCGTAAATGACCTTTAATAATTGGAAGACCCCCATATGATAGGTCAATGAACTTTTCTCGGAATGGGCTGTAAACAAAACTAAAGAAAAAAAAAAAACCAAAGAACATTTTATAATCTTAGGAGTGCTTCCACTTACAGATGTTCCTCTCGAAATAGAGTAAGTTTTACTTTTAGTTGACACTTTTTCGAGTAACGAATAGTTCGAAAGATAATCGCGTGAAAATATTATAATAGAACACCCTGTAAATTTGACTTTAGGTTTTTATATATGAAGCATAGTAATTATTTACCGCAAATAATCATTACGTTCTGCAATCATTTCATCTATTGTTTTGTTCTTTGCTGAAAGATAACATTGACAAGTACATTGTTGGAAATCATCTGATGCATCAATAAAACTAGAGCTGCTTTTAGAACTATCCATTTTAAAAATATTTTCTGTTATTTTTAAACTGCTACTGCTTGGTTCTAATATAGTTAAACTGCATTCACATATTATTTCCTACATATGATATAGAAGTTTAAAAAATGTAATAAATATTTACAAAAATTGTTTAATTACCACTTATATTCAGACCTCCATATTTGAGATTTTTTCTTCCATTTCATTAAGTCCTAAGTCAACTAACATTTGTTCAGTTTCTTCATTGATTCCATGATATTCTACTAATTGTATAATATTTTCCTCTATCTCAATATGTCTCAAAAATTCAATTATTTTAGATGATGCAAAATTAATAGGAGATTTCCAATTTAAAATTCCAGGAACATCAATACCACTTAAAATTAAATGACGAAGAATACTTGGACTTTGAAGCATTACTCCATGTATAATGATATTCCAACATTCTATCTCACATAAACCTGTAGGTCTTAAATTTAAAATTAATTCATCACTAAGTTTACTGGACCACATTCCTTTGAATTCCAAAATATATGGTTCTACTTTGAAATCTTTAAAATAAAGAAGTTCACAATAACTAAGGCTAATAAGGCCAAGTTTCATTGCTTTTATGATGCTATGTATGGACATGCCTAAAAAGTTACATTAAATTAATTAAGCTTTCTTTGTTTTAATTTATGATGTGAGCAGAGATACCTTTCTCTTCCAATTTTTTTAAAACACAAGTACTGTATAATCCACTATAAATGGTGATCCATAATCGTTTATCACTTATAACATTATGGGAAATCTTTTCTAATGCACTTGACTGAATATGAGTACATTGTTTAAGTCTATCTGTAAGTAATTTCAATAACTTGTCTTTGCTCCAAGTTCCATATATTTTAAGTCCTTTGTTAGTAAGGACGACATTTAATTTAGTTTTATTTATTACTTCTTTTGATGATGACTTTGTTGATAATGAACATGTTGAACATGATTCAGAAGTAATTTTTCTAAAAATATGAAATTATTTTTGAATAAAAAGTGGAAAACGTAATTTAAAATTTAATAAAATTACTTCAAGTTAATCATCATATTACAACTTATTTTACTTTTTGTCATACGGACATTTGTAAGCTGTATTATTGTTTTTATCACTTGCCATAAATTGCGCCATTCTGCATTCACATATAAAAATTAAATTAAATTTCAAAATATGTATGGCATGGTTAATCAAATCAAATATGTTAACAGGCATTTGTTTGTATTAAAAAAAATGACATATTTACTATTAAAATATTTTAATTAATACATAATTTGAATGTACTAACAAGAGAAAAGTCAATTACAGAAATCTATTTTATTTACAAGTACATTAAAATAACTTTATTGAACTGCTTATTGATATATTGTTACAGTATATTACATTTATATATGTAACGATATGCATTGCATTTATTTATTGTGCATGTTAGTATTAAAATCAAATCAACACAATAATAAAAATAAACTGTAAAATTTTGCAAATTCTACAGTAGATACAAAAGTGCATAGGAGCTAAAAATACATGTTTGTTTGTGACATTATTGAAGTTCTATTGATATTTATTAATCATTATATTACGTATGCATAATATATTTACACAAATATAAATTTTGATATTACAAATACCTATAGAAAATGTAACTATTTAACAAAGAATTAGAAGTTACAAGCAAACTCATATATATCTCTGATACATGTATGTAACATTTCTTTTTATAACATACACAAAGCAATAATGTGCTGTATTATTATTCACTTTTGCTTCAAAGTTCTCACACTTTGATACTTGATAATTTAATCAAATTTAGATTATAATAAGTATGGCTTCCTTCTAACAATCACCAACAGATTGTTATATTACAATGAATTAAATCAAACTGCAATAGCAATTTGAATGTGGTTCTTGTGGTTGACCATCAGATATTAGTTGTAATCCTCTGTGGCCTCTATGTCTTGCACCCCCCATACTACCATTACCATATGATTTCAAAAGAGCATGTCGATCCCAAAGACCTGGTGTTTGTATTATCTGCAAATAACACCATTTATAGTATTTGAAAATTTTAAAGATGAAAAGTAGTTATACCTTTTGCACAAGTTCTTCAAAACAACATTTTATTCCATCTGCTGTTTTTGCACTGCTTTCAATGTATAGAGTTTGATGCCTTCTAGCAAATTGTAGGCCTTCTTCAGTACTTACTTCTCTGTTTGGTAAATCTATCTTATTACCCACTACCATTTTAACAATATCTGTCTTATTGCAGTATGTATTCAACTCGCTGAGCCATGTCTCTAATTTCATAAAAGTAACTCTATCTGTAACATCATATACTAATATAGCACCCTGCCCATCTCTGTAGTAACTAGGAGTTAGAGTACGGAAACGTTCTTGTCCTGCAGTATCCTGCAATAATTTTTCATTAATTTACATTTACTTAATTATTTCGTTTACATTTAATTTTTCACTTAACTGATGTACTGTAAAATGCATACAATTTTTATAGCAATAACAAAATGAAACTAACCCAAATTGCAAGTTTTACTGTATTACCATCAATTGTGACTTGTTTAGTTCTGTAATCCATGCCAACTGTGCTTTGCATATTCTCATGAAATTCATCCTCTGTAAATCTGAGGATTATGCTAGCAACAAAGATAATAACATAAGCATATTGATCTAAATTCTATCATGAACAAATAATATTTTTCGTACAAGTACCTTGACTTTCCAACATTTGATTCTCCTATCATTAATAACTTTAATATAGTTAATACATCTTGATCCAAATCCATTGTTAATGTTATAATATCACAGCACTCAATATAAATATTTTATATTTTCTTATGATGTTGTCACTTAATTTAATATTAATAAATTTTTATTAAAATAAAAATGTATCTAATTTCTTTACCACTATAAATTACAAAAAAAATTATGCTACTTGAAAATAAAAGTATTACACTTTAATATAACACAAAAATTGTTGATCTCGCACAACATAAAACATGTACAATACTTTATTTATGTCAAAAACCTATAATATGTACTTATACAGTTACAACGCATTTCAGATTAGTCGCAATAATAAAGATTGAATAACAGAGAAAAGATAAATTTGAGTTTGTTTACAAAATACTGAAAAATGCTTATACATAATGAGGTTATAAATTAAAATTAGTATTATTAATTTTTTTGATTCTTTCAAAAATTGTTGAAAAAGGCTTACCGTACATACGTCACTCGAGTCTAATGAATGATATCATTCTTTTTGCATCACATTAAGTAAAACTTACAAAGTACTGTTGTCGTAATACGAATTAGACAGTAGGATAGGAAACGTTAAAACAATTACAATAGTTGTTGCAAAATAGTGCAGATGTCGTTTGTATTTGTTTCTAACGAATATTGCATTACAAAATGGTCGTGGTAAAGTGCAAATCGCTTTTCTGTTGTGCGCTTAAAGAGGAAACCGGGACGGCTGACGTGAAATTTCCAGCAAAGCGTACAAAATGAATACAAGCAACTATTTGTACGTCGAAAACTGAAATAAGAAGATCCATCTAAAAATATCTGGCATTTATTGTCTTTCATATCACTTATCTACACGGAAACTTTGCATGAAATACATTATTCATACTAAAATGCTAAATTATCATAGAGATATGACATGACAAATTGTTATCGAAACAAACTGAAAGTTTAAAAAGATTGTTTAGAAGCTTTCTAAGTGTTAGAACAATTTTATGTGCCCAAATGGGAAAAGATATGGCCGTCAACATTCCTAACCTCAATAATGCGATATGTACGTTATCATATACTAAGAGATAACAGTATTATCAAAGATGTCAACTATCAAACATGGTCAATTCGTACAGACAGTGCTTAACGATACTTCTTGCACGATGTAGACTGTTTAAATAATCAATCGATATCCGTTTCAATCCTAAGTTTCGGAAGTATGGTAACAGAGAAAAAAAGAGAATTATAACACATCGAATATGTCATCAGTGAGTAAAATTCGGTCGCAAATTCACGTGGCAAGTATATACTCACCGACGTGGGAGCACTACAAAAGACGAATGTGCGAGCGCATCTTTGGATATGTCGAAATCTAATATAAAGTAAGTTTTCGTTTACTATAGTGGCAGAACGCTAAAACGAACAGAAGAAAAAAGATGGCCGCCGATAGGCTGCCATGAAGGGGCTGCGCCGCTCATGCTCGTGGAAATGGGACGTTGCGACATCAAAGTGTCACCGTTGTGCTCGTGAAGTGTCACAAAGTGTTCACGAAGTGACGTGAAGTGTTTTGTGTTGCTCGGACTGCGGATTGATTCTCCGGGATGGCATTCGATGGGTAAGAAAGACATTTTTTCGATTCTAGGGAAATGGAAATACGGCACGATATAGTGGCTGTTTCGCGGATCGATAGTGAATTTTTTTCCCAGTGATCCGTCCCAGTTTTCTTGGGAGAGAGGCTCGTCGTATTCTTCAAACACAATCGTGTTTGTCTTTCTTTTCTTAGTTTGTCGTCTGAACTGGGTAGGTCTTGCTTGCTAAATTCTTTTGCATTTACATTTCGTACGCATTATCGTAGTTATGTCTATCCTTTTCCTCTCTGTCTTTCACTACTTTCGTTTTTTGTTCTTCCCCCTTGTATACAACTATGTACGAATGGATTTCTGCTGCCTATTTCAGTCAATTAAACGGATAGCGTGACATCAGACAGTTGTTCGTATTGCAGCCAACATTCCTATCAATTTATGGTTATGGGGAGTGGGGGTGGACACCCTTTTATTATGAGGAAACTTTGCTCGATTTTAAATGTTTCTCTTCCTCGTTTACGATTTTCGAATATTTTCTCGTGACAACCATCGTTTTCTGCGAGTCTTGCCGCTTATCGGTGGATTTATTTTCTACGAAAAAAAGCTTCGATAAAGGAACTTCGTCGTGCCCCGTTTTCGCTGCAGATTTGGTAGAATGCTATTGATTAATTATTTATAACTTATAGTTTAATTCGCTTCGATTTTATCTTTCGTTTCGAAAAATCCATTAGACTAACTGTCATCTGAAATTTTCAAACGCCTTTCATTCGATACACCCGATTTAATCCGTGCATTAAACATCTCACTATATACTTTTTTTTTTTACTGTGCCGCACTATTTTTAGAATTTTTAATTATAGCAATAAAAAGAGTAACAAATTTATCATCGTGTTCACTTTATATGCTTTAATGATTTAACGCGTGTGCAAGTTATTTTAACAGGTTTAAATATCGTTATTATTCAGTAATGTTAATCATTTTGACATAAGCCAATAGTATAAATTTATGAAATAAAAAAATAAAGGTATATGTGTAATTGCAGTAGAATGGAATGGGTGGAGATTATAGAACCTCGTACCAAGGAGCATATGTATGCTAATCTTATTACTGGAGAATGTGTATGGGATCCTCCACCTGGTGTACCAGTGTAAGATATATATATATATATACATCTTTTAATTCAAAAATAAATATTTTATCATATAGTTAAAGAAGATATTACATTTTTATTATTATCAGAAAGTTTTAGAGTTTCCTTCTGAATTAATTTAGAAAGAATAATATTAACTCAACTTTCTCACTAAGAAAGATAATTGCTTGTCTAAGATTAGGTTGTCTTTCTGATCTAATTAGCTTGGTGAAAGTTATCATCATATAAGGTTTTCCTTTTATGATATAGGAAGCATTTATAATTGACAAGATTTCTATTTGACACATGCTTTGAATTTCAATGTTCCTTGTAACCTAATTTTTGCAGTAATCAAAATAATTGTTGCTAAAATCTCTGTAAATTCAATAATTACTGATGTTAGATACTTAGGTATATATGTAGTTCAGTGTAGTGTTTTCAATTATAGGAAAAAGACAGATAATAATCAGTGGTGGGAATTATTTGATCAAAATACTTCAAGATTTTACTACTATAATGCAACATCCCAGAAAACTATATGGCACCGTCCAAGCGATTGTGACATCATACCTTTGGCAAAGCTTCAGGTGAGTGATTCATCATGTTTGATAACAAATATCTAATTTGGAAGGGAGGGTGACACAGCATTCCATGTACTTGTAATAGTGCTAAAAATTAGGTGGGTCATACAAATATGTGAAATACCAGATAATGATAAAATCTGTTAACTTTATGTATGTTTACTCACTGAACGTAGTATTTGACTTATTTAAGATATAAATTCTGTTGTGTGTAGACACAACGATTTGTAAGATTTTCTATACCATCATACATCAATGTAGCCACTCTGCAGAATGTTGAAGATATAAGTGTGCAAGCTGTCTGCTCTCCTTACAGCTATAAATAGACATTTGTAGCTAGGAGAAAAAACTCTGGTTTACATTATGCCATACCACCAGCATGAAAATCTTTCAAGAACCTCTTATATTTTTATTTGCATATGTCATATTATATGAAATTTTTATTAGTTTAAATAGCACACTTCAAATTTCAAAAGTTTCAAATTGTTACTTCTGTTGTATGTTTGTTTCCTTTGATTAGTAAAGAATACTTAAAGATATTTTTTGTTTATAATATTTTTTATATTATTAGCATTGCAACTTATTGGAGAAAAAAATACAAAAATCTGTTCAACATGTATTATAGACATTAAAGCAGAATACTGAACCAGCAAGTAACAGTGGAAATGATACACAGAAATCAACCGAGCCAAGAAAGAAAGAATCTGTATCAACGCAGACACAAACTCCCTCTGTTAGTCGATTAGCAAGGTTTAATCATCAAGAAAGTTCCAATTTATCTTCTTCGTTGGTAAGTCTCTTATTCTTGAGGCTTTGTTTGTGCTAACAGATAAGCATTACAGTAACACTTTTATTATAGCAAAGTGGTAGTGTAAATAAAACAAGAACATCCAGTGTTGGTGTGGACCTTCAAACGTCTCCTCCTTCACCATCTCCATCTTCAAGACGACATCACCATCATCATCATCATCACAATAATAGACATCATAGGCATCATGAAGTGCCCACAGCACGTCGTCAACATAATCATTCTCAGGATTCTGGACGCTCTAGTGACAGTTCTGTCTCTCACAGCCGTACATCCTTGGAATCGACTGGGTATCGATTACTGGACTCTCCGCACCGACATCATCATCGTTCCGTTGTTCAGACGCCAGCAAGTCAAGCACAATCTTCGCCCAGACAACACAGCGGTACATTGGAAGCTAGGGGACATAAGAGTGGCACTCTGGAAAGCGTGAAGAATCAGAAGTCGGTACCGCTGGGCGAGCCACCACCGTTAGGTTTGTCGCTCTCAACTAGTACTCCCCTTTTTAAGAAGAAGACATTTGTTGACTCGCAACGCGAGGGTAGAGCAGGAAATTTAGAGTTGGAAAAGAATAAAAATGGTAAGAATGTGAGTTAAATTTCACAAAGAATTTAGTTCTGTGGTATTTTTGTTTAGATTAAATACAGGATGAACAAAAAATTAATATAATTTATATTTTGATGCTTTAGGTAGAGAAAGTAGTAGAGGTTCGTATGGTCCTGAACCAAGTACTTCGCCATATCGTGATTCACTAATGGAGTCTAGAATATTTAGGCAAGAGATGCCTCCGTACCGTCCGCCAGAAGTTCAATTGAGTCATAGTTATAAATCACAGGGTGAGAAGTATGGCTCCCTGGTGGAAAGTAG